ATTTCTCCCATTATCCCATTATCGCGAGACTCGCGCATGTGCTAAATTTTAACCGTTGAAAACTGCCTTAAAATGTATATAGATGGATCAAAATGAGTCAAAACTGTAACAAAGTATTCAATCTAGCTATGCTATCTTTTTAATCATTTTCATTTGTTTAAAAAAAAGCCTAGTTCATCGTTTATTACTATTATTACGCTAACGAATAGTAAGAAACCTTTTTTAAAAAAAAGAAAGTACAAGGTGCTCATTGACAAAATCAATACTGCCCTTTGTAAGACTAATACCCCTCATTTAAAACATAATACTGAATTTTAAATTTGTTCGTTCGATGAATAGAAAAATTAAAATATTAACCTGACTTTCGTTATAAACTTAAATGTTTAAATCTCTTAACTCAAAGAGGTTCGCCGAACCAAACAAAGAGCGCTGGGACGAAAATAGAAAATAATAATCATTAAAAAAGTTTAAAAAAACCCACGTTTTCTGATTGAACTAAAAAGTAGAAAATAAACGCTATACATCACAATAATGCAAGCGATCACTCTACTATAAGCGATCAAAAACGTGGGTCGCCGAAGTAAAAGTTATATTACTATTGATTAGATAATACTATTGACTTTTATTAGGGAGCTTATAGAGAGTCAACAGTATTAGAAACTGTAAGAAAATCACGGCGCCCCACGTTTTTGATCGCTTATAGTAGAGTGATCGCTTGCATTATTGTGATGTATAGCGTTTATTTTCTACTTTTTAGTTCAATCAGAAAACGTGGGTTTTTTAAAACTTTTTTAATGATTATTATTTTCTACTTTTTAGTCTTTGTCTGTTTGTTTGCATTAAAATCTTGCTATCGATTTTATCTTTTCACTTTTTTTGGGTAAACGAAGACAACTCGTAAAAAGACAACTCGTAAAAAGACAACTCGTAAAAAGACAACTCGTAAAAAGACAACTCGTAAAAAACACGTTGTTTGAATACGTTACTGACTAGAACACATAGATTTGAACCCGTGTCGAGTGGGATAGCAATCGTGTGCCCAACCACTCGACCATATCGTCTCCCCCAAACTGGCCTACCTCCTGTAAGTTTAAACTCGGTTCAAGCTAAATTCTCTGCCCCTAAGCCTGTGGCGACATGTGATCGTTCGCTTCACTGCGCGCGAGGTACGCGTCGCTGGTTTTTTTTCTAATGGCTAGCAGAGGAGAATTATATATATAGATTATATAGCGGTCTAAAATGCTCAATAAAATGTTTCCATTGATCAATTTAGTAATAATAACAATTGAATATTCAATGGTCATCCAAAAGAAAGCTTCCCTGAAAATTTCAGCGCGCTAGCTAACTGGGAAGTGCCAGAAATTTCGATCGCAAGATTTGATTGGAAAGACAAACAAACAGAGAAAGCAAGTTAAAGAAAACGTGGGAACATACTGTAAAACTACCCAGTCAAATAAAGGCAATAAAACGTTCAGAAAAACTACAGTGAGAAGAAATGCAAATCAAAGTGTCTGCTTAAAAAAATGAGTAGAAGAATCGAGTTGGGTCTGTGTTCTCAATCACGCACACCATTAACGATTCAGGACCATTAAAGTGAACGAAAAAAAAACAGGCAATAAACTTTGTTTAATGTGTGTGTCGTTGTGCCCAACGTCTCAGAACTAAGCAAGCTATGCGTTGTATTGTGACAACGTAAGTTAAGTAACATATAAGGGCTTAGATCGTCAAGCTGTGTATCTCATGTTGTGGGTGATGTTTGTTGTGGTTTGTGGGGCTTTGAGTGGTGGGCTATAGGACATCATGTGTGATGTTTGTTGTGGTTTGTGGGGCTTTGAGTGGTGGGCTGTAGGACATCATGTGTGATGTTTGGTTTGTGGGGCTTTGAGTGGTGGGCTGTAGGACATCATGTGTGATGTTTGGTTTGTGGGGCTTTGAGTGGTGGGCTGTAGGACATCATGTGTGATGTTTGGTTTGTGGGGCTTTGAGTGGTGGGCTGTAGGACATCATGTGTGATGTTTGTTGTGGTTTGTGGGGCATTGAGTGGTGGGCTGTAGGACATCATGTGTGATGTTTGTTGTGGTTTGTGGGGCATTGAGTGGTGGTCTATAGGACATCATGTGTGATGTTTGGTTTGTGGGGCTTTGAGTGGTGGGCTGTAGGACATTATGTGTGATGTTTGTTGTGGTTTGTGGGGCTTTAAGTGGTGGGCTGTAGGACATCATGTGTGATGTTTGTTGTGGTTTGTGGGGCTTTGAGTGGTGGTCTATAGGACATCATGTGTGATGTTTGGTTTGTGGGGCTTTGAGTGGTGGGCTGTAGGACATCATGTGTGATGTTTGTTGTGGTTTGTGGGGCTTTGAGTGGTGGGCTGTAGGACATCATGTGTGATGTTTGGTTTGTGGGGCTTTGAGTGGTGGGCTGTAGGACATCATGGGTGATGTTTGTTGTGGTTTGTGGGGCTTTGAGTGATGGGCTGTAGGACATCATGTGTGATATTTGTTGTGGTTTGTGGGGCTTTGAGTGGTGGGCTGTAGGACATCATGGGTGATGTTTGTTGTCATTTGTGGGGCTTTGAGTGGTTGGCTGTAGGACATCATGTATGATGTTTGTTGTGGTTTGTGGGGCTTTGAGTGGTGGGCTGTAGGACATCATGTATGATGTTTGTTGTGGTTTGTGGGGCTTTGAGTGGTGGGCTATAGGACATCATGTGTGATGTTTTTGTGGTTTGTGGGGCTTTGAGTGGTGGGTTGTAGGACATCATGGGTGATGTTTGTTGTGGTTTGTGGGGCTTTGAGTGGTGGGCTATAGGACATGTAGTGCGATGTTTGTTGTCGTTTGTGGGGCTTTGAGTGGTGGGCTATAGGACATGTAGTGTGATGTTTGTTGTCGTTTGTGGGGCATTGAGTGGTGGGCTATAGGACATCATGTGACATATTGTGTGATGGCCCACTTGACATTGTGTGTGATGGCCCACATGCCATTTTTATGATGGCTCACATGACATTGTGTTTTGTGGCCCGCATGACATTGTGTGTGATGCCCCACATGTCATTGTTTATGATGGCTCACATGACATTTTCTGTGAAAGCCCACATGACATCGTGTGTGTTGGCCCACATGACATTGTTTGTGATGGCCCACATGCCATTTTTATGATGGCCCACATGACATTTTTTGTGATAGCCCACATGACATTGTGTGTGATGGCCCACCTGGCATTGTGTGTGATGGCCACCCTGATCTTGTGTGTGTGGTCAACATTACATAGTGTGTGTGTTCAACATGACATGGTGTGTGATGGCCCACCTGACATTGTGTGTGATGGCCCACATGTCATTGTGTATCGTGGCCTGCATGACATTTTCTGTGATGGCGCACATGACGTCACATCCGATTTTTATAAACTTATATTTAAAAAAAAAAGATACTTCTCAGGAACAACATAAGCTCCACATAGCTATAAATAAAACACAATCTTGTCTTCTGTCAAGGGGTAAAGAAATCTGGAATTACAATAGTTGCAAGGAATAAACTTATCTCCCTTTATAGAAAACTCAACACGAAAAAAATGTTTTTTAAGTATTTGTTCATTGCTTTTTCAATTAAATTTGACCGAATAGAAGTTTTCAATCATTTCATCTATTACCCGATAATTTAAGAAAAAAGAAATGATTCCTTATTCAAAAACATATTTAACTATAAAAATGTATGACAGTGCACACATGTATTAAGTTTTATGTAATAAGATTTAAATTTACGCATTGTTGTCGTTCCATTACAGGACAGATTTGTACCCAAGAACTGTCTGTCGCAAACTCTTCCTCAGGTAAGTAATTTTATCATGAAAGTATGTTTTTATTCCTTTTGAACAAGCAAGGACTTTTACTGTAACATTAGATCTTTTCCTTACACGTTATTTTATCGTTTTTTTGATAATCTTGGAGAGCTTATAAACCTGATTACTTATTATCTCGCTAGAACAAGGAAAGCTACACCAAAAGGCCAAAGTAATAAAATAAGAAAATTGCAAAATGCCCTGTTATATATTAGTGGTAATACCATCCTTACTCAAAATAAAACCTTTACCCTTTAGCTTTTGAAGCATATCATTAGCCGTACAATTTCCGTTAGATGTACCAGTTGTCTATAGTCCGCAGTTATAAACTTCAAAGCTCACATTTTTACGCTGGCTTTACACTAACCCAACTATCAACTAACCTTCACGTCCTTGCTTTAAATCTAACAAGCCTTACGTAATATGTAACATAACCTAATCCTAATTAAACAACACATATATGTTATAAGACATGCTATGGGTTCCTAGTCATGTCAACCAGGGTACCATTTATCGGTGCAACACAAAACGTCACATCAAACGAACTTGTAGGCTACACATCACGTGAATTGAAATCTTGCACTTGTAAAATTAAAACCTCTTATATTCTTTCGACAGACATGGTTGTATTTTTTAACTGTTCCTTTACATTGGAAAACGAAACCGTAACGACAGAGTGTCTGTTAACCTCAGTAAGTAGACAGTGGGTACATTTTTGCTTTTGAAATTATTGTATTTTAAACCAAAAGGTGGAATTACTCGGAAGGTAAAACGTTCTCTCGAAGTTCATATGGCGGGTGAAGTAGAGTTCCGTTGTTATTATTCTTCTTCAGCCAGCGCCATGCTCAGTTTCTACCCGCATGATGAGTACGTATTATGGCTGAGTGAGCACCGCCTGTCGTACGTGGTCATTGTAAAAATATCAGAAAATATGCCTGTAAAATGCCTAGTCTTCATTTTTGATGAATTTTTTTTTTACACTGTGAGTTAAATCAATTCGGTTGTACATGATGTGGTCTAACCGCCTATGGTTAAAGCAGTGGTGGTTAGAGATCCGGGTACCTTTAATTCGTTTTAATTAGTTTAACATTTTAAAATGTCCGCATGTTTAAATAGTATTGTATCATCTCCTATTTAGTTTACCCGGGCGTTCAGACAAGGTGCAATGATAGTCGGAGGCTCCGTTAAAGAAAAAATAGAGTAAGTTGAAACTCCATGGGAGAAGGCACGGTTGGGTGGTAGAGTGCATGATTACAAACTTTGAAAGTACCGAGTTCTCCGCAAGCAGATAGGGTTCGTTATATGCGAACAGCACACATATAGAAGAAAAAACTCCACAAATCAAACAACTGCTGCCTTGTAGTTTGTTCTTGGGTGGACAAAGCTATAGAAACGAACCCAGAAAGAAAAATAAGCTTAAGCCGGGTCGCATGGTAGTAGCTTAATTAACACAAGTCTTCTAATAGTTGATTAGAGATTTAACATATGCAATTCTACCTTATTTGCTACAATGAATAGGGAAGGTAAAAAAAACACATGTTTGTGGAGTATTGAAATAGTTCTTTTTCTTTTTAATCTCGTTCTCAAGCTCAAGAAACATGGGGTACTCGAAGTAGAGTTAATCTGATTCATTGACCTCGGCATATGAAGGGATAGTGTGTCCAGTCGCCTTTGTTTCCCTAACGTAAGCTAGATACCTCATCTAAGCTGAGTGGACTCGAGACTCTCGGGTTAGCAGTCTAGCTCTCTACCGCTAGACCACGTAGTCACATATTGAAATAGTTGGGGCATTTGGAATAGATGGGGCATTGGAAAAGTTCTTGTGAAGGAGCTACTAAGAGATTTGTGATATTTGAAGAAAATAATATTACTCGTTTAAAAAAAAAAAACTTCTGATATTAAAAGTACTTCAAATAATTTATTAATTTTCTCTTATAGAGGAGATTTTTATAATGTGGGATTTTTGATGAGCATCGGTGGTAACCTGGACAAGAATATCATAAAGAATCTGACTCAAGAAGCTCTTGATGTGATATCCCAGAAATGCTATAGGCCTACTAATGAAAGTAAGTTTCTTGATTTTATGTAAAATACTTCAGATCAGTGGCGTAGCGAGGTCGGGTGTCACCCGGTGCGGCAACTTAATGGTGTCACCCCCCTCCGGTAAATATATATATATATATATATATATATATATATATATATATATATATATATATATATATATATATATATATATATAATATATATATATATAGAGAGAGAGAGATAGATAGAGAGAGCATATATATACATATACTATGCATACTGCCTAGCTTCGCTTAAGTTTTCAAAAACTTTAGAGAATTTGAATGATTAATTAATTAGTGATTCACTGTAATGTGGAGTGTTTAGGGCCCCAGCTTACACATTCTGACTATTTATGTCATGCAAACAACTAAATAGTATTCGCAAATTTAAAACTCGCAAGGTTATTAGAACTGCAAAGACTTCATTAAATGTATAAATGAAACAAACATTATATTAAATTTACTTTCGCAATTAACTTCAGATTGATTGTGTAAAATTTTTATCACAGTAGTACGGCCATTTTCGAGTGAAACAGCACACAAACTAGAAAAGATAGCTCCCTCGCAAAAAATGTTGGGTCTTTATACACACTTACACATTTTGTGTTTGTATTTGTGTGTGGGTGTGTTGGTGTGTGTGTAGCAAAATATTTATTCATTTTCCTGTACTTAAATAAGCTATTTTGGTACATTTTTAAAAATTACAATATCATTTGAAACGGTTTAACAATATTTGCATAACATATATCATTTTTTTACAGCCTATACAAACAGCACGACTGAACACTCCTCAGGTACAGTTTAAAATTAAACGCTTAGAATCTGACAAAATAAATGTATTTTCTAAACCTGTTTTATTATTCAGGTGACACTATAGTATAATAAATGCATGGATTTTTTAAGCTGTTCTAGACTTGTCGTTAAGAGGCTTTAGTTGGTGCCAACTTTAATCTTTACAGAGCTCCTACAGTGGTACCTCGACATAAGAGTCAGTGGCGTAGCCAGGATCGTCTCATGGGGGGAGGGGGTTCAAATTTTTCCAACAATTTATATATATATATATATATATATATATATATATATATATATATATATATATATATATATTGCAGGCCATGTTAGTATTTATTCTACGTTCGCAAAGTTTCAATTTATTCTTTGAAGTGCATGTTCCTGTTTATTCTAGATAACTTCCGCAATAACTCTAGAAAATTAATTTGTGTATTTTTTTTTACTCTTCCAGTGCGCGATGCACTACCTAGATGGTTTGCACCATTGATGAGTGTCTTTGGAGGAGTCATTATATTTGTTCTCTTGTTGGTTTGTGTGGTGTGCACCAGAGGTAGGACGTCTAAAAATTCGCAATCTGTGTCATTAAAATAATTTGTTCGTGTTTCCTATGGTCGGGACTACAATCATACCATTCTCATGCGAGTTAAATGTAAAAAATAAAATAAATTAAATATTTTAGGACATTTTTAAAGTCATTCCAGGTTGGTCAGACTTGGAAAATTCTAAAAAGTAGAACATTTTAGACAACGGATATATTCTAGTTCCAACGGTAGTTTGGTAACGGTGTAAGGATTATCGTAGTAGGTTGGTAACGATGTAAGGATTATGGTGGTAGGTTGGTAACGGTGTAAGGGTTATGGTAGTAGGTTGGTAACGATGTAAGGATGATGATAGTAGGTTGGTGACGATGTAAGGATTATGGTGGTAGGTTGGTAACAATGTAAGGTTTATTGTAGTAGGTTGGTAACGATGTAAGGATGATGATAGTAGGTTGGTGACGATGTAAGGATTATGGTGGTAGGTTGGTAACAATGTAAGGTTTATTGTAGTAGGTTGGTAACGGTGTAAGGATTATGGTAGTAGGTTGGTGACGATGTAAGGATGATGATAGTAGGTTGGTGACGATGTAAGGATTATGGTGGTAGGTTGGTAACAATGTAAGGTTTATTGTAGTAGGTTGGTAACGATGTAAGGATTATGGTAGTAGGGCGGTAACGATGTAAGGATTATGGTAGTATGTTGGTAACGATGTAAGGATTATGGTAGTAGGTTGGGTAGTAGGTTGGTAACGGTGTAAGGATTATGGTAGTAGGTTGGTAACGGTGTAAAGATTATGGTAGTAGGTTGGTAACGGTGTAAGGATTATGGTAGTAGGTTGGGTAGTATGTTGGTAACGGTGTAAGGATTATGGTAGTAGGTTGGTAATGGTGTAAGGATTATGGTAGTAGGTTGGTAATGGTGTAAGGATTATGGTAGTAGGCTGGAAACGGTGTAAGGACTATGGTAGTAGGTTGGTAACATTGTGTCTTAAAGAGCAGATACAGGGAATAATTTATACTTTAACCAGCGTCTCCCCCACCCCTTACTTTCTTCAGGGAAAACCGAATTAATAATTCAAGTGAGCTATTACAGCTTTAACAATCTTCGCTCGTGTGAAGTACATACTTTATTTAGTTTTTCATTAAAATATAGCTAGCATCTAATTTTAAGTTATTACTTAAACTTTTATTTCTGAATCCATCTCTCCTCAGGAACTGATGACCTAGAGATCCAGTCGCGCAGTACTAGGTCCACGGCAGTAAGTACTCGACTGGAGACAACAAGTCATGCTGATGTTCACGACAGGGGGATAGAAGAGCAGATCGATCAGGAAAAGGACTTGGGCTGTGTGGATTTAGTGCATGTGCAAGTGGACGGTGGAAGCGAGGAGGTCGTTAGTGGAGCAGTAGGTCAGGAAGGGAGTTACCAAGAAACAAGAATGTGAAAAACCAAAGATTGAGAAGGTCGTGATGGAAAAGAAATAACCTCATTTCCCTTGTTTAAAAATATCAGAAAGTTAGATTGAAAAATATGTTTTTGTTACTTTTAAATTTTCCAATTTTTGCAAAAAGCAAACCTGTATGCTAGATTATATATTTAGAAAAGAATTGTTAAGCAGGTCACCGTTGGAATAGTCATCAGATGATTTTTGTAAATATTTCTGCTTAATGTATATAATACTATTGTGAGGGGTAAATATATTTTAATTTGCCATTTGTATATAATTTACCATTTGAGTAGGCTACGTTAAATTTTAATTTGTTTTCTCGTGTTAGTGTTGGTGTTGCGGCTGCTTATGTTTAGGATTACCATTGTTTGACTATATATTTTTTAAATGAACTTTTAGCTTTATTATGGCCATTAAACTGTAATTAGTCTTGTAAATAATAATTTATTTTGTTGATTATTGATTAAAATTTGTTACTTGTGTTTATCAAGATACTTTATTTTCATCGAAGTACTTGACTTTTAACCCCTGAGAAGCAAAGCCTGCATCCAGAAAACTCCGCCGAGCTCGGTCTTGTGCAGTTCTCTTTATTTCCGCCCACGTAAGCCCATTAGCCTTTGCCTCTACTTTTACCGTCCTTCTCCAAAATTGCATTGGCCGGCCCACTTCCACTGGGAATTCAAGTCTAACGCGATATTATGCTTTTCCCTATTAGGATATAATCGATCCATCCCATTTGTGGGCTATAATTGTGTCAATTAGCTGTCACTTAGTGGTTTGCTATAGGTCTTCATTTGGCATTTGTCTGGCAATTTTATCTTGAGGATTTGTCTTTAACATCTGTTTGTGAACGTCTATAGCCAGCCAGTATTTGCATTGGTAACCAAGGTCTCCAAGCCATAAAGCAAACTTGCCTTAACATTTGTGATAAAGATTCTTATCTAGATTGACAAGGCTGTGCATCTCCATATCAGTTGTAGTGAGTTGAAGGTACATCTTGCCTTGTTGACACGACATTTTTTGTCCTCGTCTGCCCCACTCACCCCCCCCCCCTCCTTGTCGATAACACTTTCCACACATGTGAATTTGTTTGTTTCTCGCGTCTTTTTTTTAGCTGTATAGGTGTGAGCTGGTTATTGATTCTGATGACCACTGTTTTATTTTTTTATTTTTACAAGCTTTTATTTAGTTCACATCGTCTGTTTGTTTATTTGCTTCTTTGTGGGTTCGTGGCAAATTTTGCAACTCAATTTTGAACTACTTCTAATGCAGCGATTTCGTTCAAACTTTCCAGAATCGTTCCAATTCGAAGACAGGTCTTTTTATTGTTTGATTTAATTAGATGTTTAGTTAGTCATCAAAAAATGAATTAAACGGGATCGAAAACTGAGGGGAGATAACAAAATTAAATCACTCGATAGATTACTATATTCAATAATAGAAGAAGAGATTAATTAACAAGCTAGACGCGATCACGATAATATTTACAATTTTAGAGTCGATCGATCTAGTGAAGGCTAATAGGGGCAGATAATAAAGTTTTTAAAATGATTTGGAACTAAGAGGAGGCAGTAAGATTAAGAACTATGCATCACTTTATCAGCTTGCTGATATCTGTAAAATGTGGTCACTTACGGATGCATTCACAAGGCAGATAATCGTCTTTCAGATATCGCAATCTACTGATGGTGTTTTGAAGCAAATACTTTTAGTATTGTTGACTTCATAAATTAGGAATCACTCAAAAGTAGAAAATAAAACAAATATAAAAATATCGATATAACTACAAGCTTTTAAATACACTGAAAATAAGATAAAACGAATCTACTTTCTTGCATACAATCTTTAGTCGCTAAAATATGTAAAAGAATGAAGGCAGATTAATTTTATTTTAACTTACTTCCTCATTCAGACTGTCTATTTGTCGTCATAGATCGAAACGCTCAAGCAAAATTTCGGACACTGACAGATTCTTTTTAAAGTTGGCACGTGGGTCAAGACTCATGAACACACTGCAATATGTTATTAAATTTGACTTAATTGGATGCCTAATTATTTTTTTATGAATTAAATATGTATCCAATAGATAATAAAGTGACCCACGCTTTTCTTAATAGTTATTCGAATAGTAGTGTATTATTATATATTTAAAGAAAATAATTTATTATCTTCTTTTTAGTGCATAATTAGACCTATATAAAAGCTTGTTATTAAAACGTTTTATATAAATTTTACGGTGCCTGTAAAAGCTTGTTAATATAAAGGAATTTTATATTTGATTTTTTTTTCTTATAATCTCAACACCATATATTTTCTATTGTTTGCGGCAACTGGAAGACGTCGCTCTGTGTAAAATAATTCTACTTCCTTTTTTTTTCGCTTTGTTGGGCTATGGCATTTGGATAAACATCAACAGTGGATTCATAAAAGAAAATCTCTTAGTTGATACAGATCTAAGTACGTATATTTAAAGCATTGATGTACATGGATTAAAAGTATCTTAGAAAAGGTATTAAATATTGGAAAACGGGTATTTAAAGTATTAATGAACTGTTAATTGCAGTAACGATGTTCTGCTCTTGATTTAATGAAGTACAGATAACTAATAAATAGTAGTAATGTTTTTGGTGAATCGAAGGGGCGCAGGTATTGGAAGTATTATTACATTGGATTAGAAGAAATCGACTTATCATGCACTTGCAATAACGCATGAGATTACGGAGGTGGTTTAGTGGAGTAGCTAGGATTTTCAGACCCCAATGCAAAAATTCTCAGCGGGCCCCTTTGTGAGCCGTTGAAATGAAAAAAAAAATCAACTGCCACCTACGGTAAAGGGTTTTAAATAATACTAGACAACCCGTTATCGTTAGATAACTGTGGGCTTCGGTGGTCATCCGTAAATGACATCACGTCTGTCACTTATCATCACAAAATAACCAGACCTCACATTTAAAAAGATGTCACACCCCAGACGTTTTTGTCTTTAAAAAAAAAACTGATTTCGGCTGAGCATGGGTCTGACCACACAATCCATTCATATGCTGAGGTCACAAAAAAGAGGTCAACTATACTTTACCTGCCCAGTGTCTCCACCAACTCAGACATGTTTTTGTCTTTTAAAACACCGATTTCACCTGAGCATGGGTCTGACCAAACTATCCCTTCATATGCTGATGTCACAAGTGAACTCTACACCTACCAAACTCTTCTTCACCTGCCCAATGTCCCATTTAGGTCTCAGACATGTTTTTATCGTTAAAAAAATTCCGGCCGAGCATGGCTCTGACCACACTATCGCTTCATAGGCGGAGGACACAGAAACAGGTGAACTCTACTTCACCTGCCATGTATCCAGCCAAGTTCCGATAGGTAACTTTATCATTCACATCTAAAAAAAATAGAAAAAAAAATGTTACGTTACCACGATGTGTCTCGAACCCGTGCCACCCGCATGGTAACCCTAATACACGAACACCTTAGCTATCTAGGGACGTATCTATATATATAAAGCAAAGTGGTCAAGTGCGCGATAGGGCACTTCCCGGCGCCGCAGGCGCGTCAAAATTGGCACAATGGTGCCTCGGGGCGATAGAACACGAAGGCCGGTGACGGTTTGCCGAAAAGTCTACGGAGAGGGGGCCAAAACTGACCTCGACTGACCGGCGCCTTATATGGGCTTTATTACGAAAAAATAATTTCCTCCGACGACCCCCCTTGAAATTTTGTGAGGTGGTAGGAGAACGCCTTGGGGTGTAACAAAAAACTCACCATGTCCGGGAAAAATCGGGAAATGAGTCAAAACTGACCAGTCGTATTTCCCTATATAATCTTTGTATTTTATGGGAAAAACAGAGGGTTATTTCAAAACGGGATTTAAGGCACTTACCCTCTTTACATCTGGCTAATTTTTGGCATGTTTGTAGGTAAATGGCTTGGCCGTAGGGCAGACCTGTCGGTCTCACTCAAAGCCCTCGACGAGGGCTAAAAAGTGACCGCGAGTGAAATTCTCTTTATATGAGCTCTATTACGAAACAAATTTTTCTCCGACGACCCCCCTTGAAATTTTGTGAGGTGGTAGGAGACCGCCTTGGGGTGTCACAAAAAACTCGGCATATCTGGGAAAACTTCGTAAAAGGGTCAAAACTGACCAGTTGTATTTCCCAATATAATCTTTGTATTTTATGGGAAAAACAGAGGGTCATTTCAAAACGGATTTTAAGGCACTTACCCTCTTTACATCTGGCTAATTTTTGGTATGTTTGTAAGTAAATAGCTTGGCCGTAGGGCAGACCTGTCGGTTTGACTCAAAGCCTTCGACGAGGGCTAAAAACTGACCGCGAGTGAAATTCTCTTTATATGAGCTCTATTACGAAAACATTTTTCCTCCGACGACCCCCCTTGAAATTTTGTGAGATGGTAGGATAACGCCTTAGGGTGTCACAAAAAACTTGCCATGTCCGGGAAAACTTCGTAAAGGGGTCAAAACTGACCAGTCGTATTTCCCTATATAAACTTTGTATTTTATGGGAAAAACAGAGGGTCATTTCAACGCAGACTTTAAGGTACTTAAACTCAGTATATCTGGCTAATTTTTTGCATGCTCTTAGGTAAATGGCTTGACCTTTAGGGAAAACTGTCGGTTTTACTCAAAGCCCTCGACGAGGGCTAAAAAGTGACCGCGAGTGAAATTCTCTTAATATGAGCTCTATTACGAAAAACATTTTCCTCCGACGACCCCCCTTGATATTTTGTGAGGTGGTAGGAGACCGCCTTGGGGTGTCACAAAAAACTCGGCATATCTGGGAAAACTTCGTAAAAGGGTCAAAACTGACCAGTTGTATTTCCCAATATAATCTTTGTATTTTATGGGAAAAACAGAGGGTCATTTCAAAACGGATTTTAAGGCACTTACCCTCTTTACATCTGGCTAATTTTTGGTATGTTTGTAAGTAAATAGCTTGGCCGTAGGGCAGACCTGTCGGTTTGACTCAAAGCCTTCGACGAGGGCTAAAAACTGACCGCGAGTGAAATTCTCTTTATATGAGCTCTATTACGAAAACATTTTTCCTCCGACGACCCCCCTTGAAATTTTGTGAGATGGTAGGATAACGCCTTAGGGTGTCACAAAAAACTTGCCATGTCCGGGAAAACTTCGTAAAGGGGTCAAAACTGACCAGTCGTATTTCCCTATATAATCTTTGTATTTTATGGGAAAAACAGAGGGTCATTTCAACGCAGACTTTAAGGTACTTAAACTCAGTATATCTGGCTAATTTTTTGCATGCTCTTATGTAAATGGCTTGACCTTTAGGGAAAACTGTCGGTTTTACTCAAAGCCCTCGACGAGGGCTAAAAAGTGACCGCAAGTGAAATTCTCTTAATATGAGCTCTATTACGAAAAAATTTTTCCTCCGACGACCCCCCTTGATATTTTGTGAGGTGGTAGGAGACCGCCTTGGGGTGTCACAAAAAACTCGGCATATCTGGGAAAACTTCGTAAAAGGGTCAAAACTGACCAGTTGTATTTCCCAATATAATCTTTGTATTTTATGGGAAAAACAGAGGGTCATTTCAAAACGGATTTTAAGGCACTTACCCTCTTTACATCTGGCTAATTTTTGGTATGTTTGTAAGTAAATAGCTTGGCCGTAGGGCAGACCTGTCGGTTTGACTCAAAGCCTTCGACGAGGGCTAAAAACTGACCGCGAGTGAAATTCTCTTTATATGAGCTCTATTACGAAAAAAATTTTCCTCCGACGACCCCCCTTGAAATTTTGTGAGATGGTAGGATAACGCCTTAGGGTGTCACAAAAAACTTGCCATGTCCGGGAAAACTTCGTAAAGGGGTCAAAACTGACCAGTCGTATTTCCCTATATAATCTTTGTATTTTATGGGAAAACAGAGGGTCATTTCAACGCAGACTTTAAGGTACTTAAACTCAGTATATCTGGCTAATTTTTTGCATGCTCTTAGGTAAATGGCTTGACCTTTAGGGAAAACTGTCGGTTTTACTCAAAGCCCTCGACGAGGGCTAAAAAGTGACCGCGAGTGAAATTCTCTTTATATGAGCTCTATTACGAAAAAAATTTTCCTCCGACGACCCCCTTGATATTTTGTGAGGTGGTAGGAGACCGCCTTAGGGTGTCACAAAAAACTTGCCATGTCCGGGAAAAATCGGGAAATGGGTCAAAACTGACCAGTCGTATTTCCCTATATAATCTTTGTATTTTATGTCAAAAACCGGGAAATTTTAACACAATTTTTAAGTTACTTAACGTCTGTAGATCGTGCTAAGTTTTTGCATACACTACTATAGATGACTAGGCCGTATGGAAAAACTGTTGGTCAGATTAAAAAGCCCTCGACGAGGGCTAAAAGACGATCGTGAGTGAAATTCTCCTTATATGAGATATATATATAAATAAATTGACGAACGATCCCCTTAATATTATGTGACGTCGTAGACCGACCCTGGAGGGTAACAAAAAAATTTATTCCCGTCGGAAACAGCCATTATAGTCGTTAAATATGTTCATATACCGTAATTTCTTATATAAGCATAGCAACTGTTTGTTAAAAAAAAGTAAACAAAGACATACGTCATACGTACAGTTTTCAAGGGAGTTAACGTTTTTAAAATTATTATTTTTCAAATAATTGTATACTATTTTAAACAGAAACAGAAAATAACGAAGTATAGCATTTGTTTTAGTACACAATTAAGTTGTTAATCCAGTTACGTATTCTAATTAAATAAATTAATTAATTTCAAAAGACAATGTGACATAAATTATGAGATATACTGTTCTTGGAACCTGTGTAGTTCGAATTCCATTTTAGTTATACAATGCGCACTTTCCAATATTTCTCTGAGAACGGAAATTAAACAACAAACACCATTTATTCTAAAGTTAGCATTACTGTTTAAATTTAAGCACTCCACACCCAATCCATCGCTAAAAAATTAAGTATTCAAATTCTCAAATGTTTTTTTTAAAAACCTATGCGAAGCTAGGCAGTATACCTAGTCTATATATATAAAGCAAAGTGGTCAGGTGCCCGATAGGGCACTTCCCGGCGCCGCAGGCGCGTCAAATTCGGCACGATGGTGCCTTGGGGCGATAGAACACGAGGGCCGGTGACGGTTGGCCGAAAAGTGTACGAGGAGGGGGCCAAAACTGACCTCGACTGACCGGCACCTGATATGGGCTATATTACGAAAAAAAATTTCCTCCGACGACCCCCCTTGACATCTTGTGAGGTGGTAGGAGAACGCCTCGGGGTGTCACAAAAAACTCGCCATGTTCGGGAAAATTCGTTAAATGGGTCAAAATTGACCAGTCGCATTTCCCTTTATAATCTTTGTATTTTATGGGAAAAACAGAGGGTGATTTCAAAACGGATTTGAGGGCACCTACCCTCTTAACATCTGGCTAATTTTTTGCATGCTCTTAGG